TACCCTTATAGTATTAGAATTGGTACATAAATACCCCTCGTTTATCTTTTGGCCTTAAAATACCTTTGGGGTTAACCTTTAGGGACTTATTTTGCCCTTTTGACTAACAGACTACTAAGTCAATATATTTAATTATTTCATTTATTCCGTGGCATGTTGTAATTGGTTAAAAATTTAATTAATTATAATCTAATTAGTTTTACCCAAACCACCCTATCCACCCGGATCGACCCGACCCATCTTTCAAAATACCCAACCCATCCAAATAAAACATCCATTACCCATTTTTGTTTTTTTAAAAAAACCCTAAACATTTCCCCCAACATCATCAGTTCTTGGATCTGCGGCGATGTTCAAGTCAAAGTGAAGAAATCGATTCTACTCCTATAAAGTAAGAACTGAAGACTTACTTTTAATAATTTTCATAAATATTGTGTAATGATTATTCGATTAAATGTATTTCGTAAACAGTTAGGGTTTAGTTTTATTCAATTTTTTATTGCATTTTTTCTCTTGTACTGTAGCGTTGTGAAATTTGTGTAGTGTTAACATTATATATTATTTTCTGATGTTAGAGTCTTTTATTGCTTCTTACATGTTTTATAGATTGTTTTCGAGTGAGGTATGTGTGTGATTGGTATGTGTATGACTTCATTGCTCCCAATTTGTGCCTTTTTGTTTGTTTTGTGTTTTATTCCATGTGAATAAATAATGTTAGTGGTCTCTATAACTTAACTACCTTTATCTTTATAGTAAATAATTTTAGTTTTCCTATAAGTTGTTTTGTTTATAGCTGACAATTCCTTTTCACTTTTTTTTGTCTTCCATGTGAAAAATTTGAAGAATGACCAAAAAAGTGGATTTAGTATTAAACTATGGGGGCAAGTGGGTCCTTTCTCCTCAAGTTGTATACATTAAAAAATTAAATGAAACCTGGCATGGTTATGATGTGGATTTGCTGTCATATATTGACGTTTGCTCAGTGTTCATTAATAAACATGGGTTTAGGACTGTGAAACATATGTTAGTAACAGGACCAACAGGTAGGTATTATTTGCTTGAGGATGATTCAAGCATTAGGACTCTACAATCTGCTCTGTCAAGCCAGTTTAGTGTTCTTCAATTATTTGCTGTAGATGAGGGTGAAGCTACTGTTGTTATTCCTAATATTTGTGACCTGAACAAGCCTTACGCTGTTGTGCCAGTAGAGGTAGCAACAGATTGTGAATCAAATGATGAGGATGAGGATCAGAATGAACCTGTTCCTAGTGATTACAATATTGATGAGTTGGAAGTCTTTAGAAAGAAAAAAAACGAGAGAGATCAATGACAAGCTAGACAGATTCTTAGATTTGGAAAATGGTATGTGCTTTATAGATCATAAAGAAGCTAAACGAATTGAGTGTTTTTACTCTATTGTTAGAAAGGTTGCACTTAAAGTTGAAAAAAGTGACTCTACAAGATTGAGATATTTGTGTGATATTGGTTTTCCATTTGAGTGTTTGATATCTGAAGATAGGAAAAACCAAGGATTCAAAATTAAAACCTTGAACACCAAACACTCATGTGGTGAAAATGCTTTTAAGAATAGAAGGGCCACTTAAGAAGCTTTAGCACACTACTTCAAGAAAAAACTTCAGAATAATCCAAAGTACAGTGTTAATGATATGAGACAAGATTTGGATGATAATTTTAATTTGAATGTTAGTTATTCCAAGATGAAGAGGGTTAAAAGGCTCGTGTTAGAGAAATTGGAGGGTAGCTACATTGATGAATTCAATAAGTTGGAGGGTTATGCTCAAGAATTGAGGGACAACAACCCAGGTACTGATGTTATCATAAATATATCTAGAGAGGCTTTGGAACAAGGAAAAATAAGATTCTTAAGAATGTATGTATGCATTCAGGCTTTAGAAAATTGATGGAAAGGAGGTTTGAGGCCTTTTATAGGGCTAGATGGGACCTTTTTAAATAGAAAATGCAAGGGAATCTTATTGGTTGCAATGGGACAAGATTAAATGAAACACTTTTATCCACTTGGTTGGGCAGTGGTGGACATAGAGACACTTAGAACATGGAAATGGTTTATTGAGCTGCTGAGAAATTCTCTAGACCTGGCAGATGGTGAAGGAGTAACATTCATGTCTGATATGCATAAGGTAGTTGTTTATGATTTTAGCATGTTTTTTATTTCAGTTAAATTCTTATACAAATAATACTTTAACTTGTTATGATTTTAATTGTTACAGGGGCTACTGAATGCTGTTAGTCAGGTGTTTCCTAAAGAACATCATATATGGTGTGCAAGGCACATAGAAGCTAATTGGAGCAAGGATTGGAAAAGTGTACAAATGAAGAAGTTACTGTGGTTGTGTGCCTGGAGCACCTATGAAGAAGAATTTCACGATCAATTAAAATTCATGGGTTGTGTGTCTAAACAAGCTGCAAAGGATTTGGTATGGTACCCTGCACAAAACTAGTGCAAGGCTTATTTTGACACAGTCTGCAAAAATCATTCATGTGAGAATAATTTTACAGAGTCATTCAACAAATGGATTATAGATGCAAGAGCAAAACCTATAATCAAGATGTTAGAAAATATTAGAATCAAGGTGAGTTGTTACTGTTTATAATATCATCATTTATTTTACCTTAATATAGCTGATAGGTTTTATATAGGTTAGATTAATGTGGGATACACAAATGTTTGGAAATAATATTCTAGGAGAAGATGTTTTCAGATCATCCAATGAGTCGCGTGGAATGTAGTTGGTGTCGGAAAAAGGAATTATTTTAATGTTTAACTTATACTTGTATATTAGTAGTAATAGGAAATATTGCTTCACAACATGACAATTGTTAAGCCTACGGAAGGGGTCAAAACTATAGTTTTTTAGAAAGATTTCTGTAGTTGGATTGCATAGAAGTAATGCATGTTATAGTTGGATGATAAGCTCAATAAAGATGTTTGTTGCATAGTATATTGTTGTCACTGCGACTGAGAAGTTAGCTAAGCATGTTACTTTTTTGGGTGATAGATTTGAGGCTTATAAGTTTTATGAATCTGACTAGCATTTTGGGTGGAAGGCTAGAGAAAATAAGGTCCTTATTCGATTGAGGCAGCATGCTAGATGTTGTATAGATTACAATTACTTTCCTACCAAAGGACTTAGTTCAGCTAGTGAACAAATTATCAACTGCACACTAGTGATAGGTTTTATCAGATCTAGTGTTTTAATAGAAATTATAGAATATAGCTTTATGTGATTGTTACATTCTTACTTTTGTATTGTTATAAAGGTTATGAATAGGTTGCAAAAACTTGAAGAAGAGGGTAGAAATTGGAATGGAGAATTTAGTCCATATGCCATAGAGTTGTATAATGATTTCAATATCATTGCACAATGTTGTCAAGTTCAATCTAATGGAGACAAAGGATATGAGGTAGTTGAGGGTGAAGATAGTCATGTGGTGAATCTTAATAGGAAGAAGTGTACATGTAGGACATGGGACTTGACTGGTATACCATGTCCTCATGCCATTAAAGCATATCTTCATGACAAACAAGAGCCACTAGATCAATTGAGTTGGTGGTATTCCAAAGAAGCTTACATGTTGATATACATGCATAAAATACAACCTGTTAGAGGTGACAAGTTTTTGAAGCCACCAGAAATACATAAATTGGTAGGCAGGCCAAAACATAAAAGAAAGAGAGAAAAAGATGAGGCAAGGGAAAGGGAAGGGGTGTGGTCTGCTTCAAGAAAAGTACTAAAAATGACGTGCGGACATTGTAGTGAAACAGGTCACAACGAAAGAAGATGTCCTATGGTATGTAATTTTCTTTACTTGGTCAATAGTTACACTAGTTAATTCAATATCTAACTAATTTTGTCATTTTTATAGGTTCAAAGATTAAAAAAACCAGCCCAAGATGTGCTTGTGTCAACACCCCAAGCTATTCAAGAAGAATCTTGTATCATGTCTACTCCTGGCTTTGTTGATTCTTCAAGTCAACAGAGTAGCCAACCTGATGGTCCTTCAAAATCAAAGGAAATTGAAAATAACCCTACTAAACCTTCAAAGTCAAAGAGAAAAATAATTGTTGATGAATCTGAGGATGGGCAACATGTTGAACTTTCAAGTGCAGTTCCTGATGAGGATGGAGATGAGCATGAAAGTGAAGACGAGCAGACTATTCTAAAGCCAAAGGCAATTTCTGAAGCTAGGACTAGGCTTCAAGCTAAAAAGATGCAGATTCGACTAACTGGTACCAGGAGGATTGACTTCAAAGGAGATGAGAATGGTGTGAGCATTCCAACTAATCTACCATACTCACCAAGAAAATTGGTATGGAAAGGAAAAGAAGCTATTACTTCAGATCATTTGACAATTGAAAAGGAGAAAAGAATTGGCAAATTGAAGGCAAAGAGGGGTGGGAAGAAGTAGTTGCATTATGAAGTTTTTTTTTTGTTTTCTGGTGTTTTGTTATGGCATGATGAAACATAAATATTTTGACTTTTTTTGATGTTACTATGTCTTGAACAAGTGTCTGTAAGTTTTTGTGGGTTCAAAATATATGACAATGCCATTATCACTTATCTGTGGAGTTGTTGTATTTTGTTTTTCAATTGCATTATGTATGTTGTTTGATGGTAGTCTTAACAGATCTTGTGAGTTGTGAATCCTTGGTGATATTTTTTTTAACTAGATTGAGTTGTAAGATTTTACATAATGCACTTTTTGCTATAAAATTGGCAGATTGTAAATTTCTGTAAAAACTTACAGTTTGCAAATTGTTCAAAAAATTGCAGATTGCATTTTGCTGTAAAAATTTACAGATTACAAATTGATGTGTAATAGCTGTAAAAATTTGAAGATTGCAGATTTTTATAAAAATTTGCACACTGCATTTTGCTGTTAAAAATTGCAGATTGCATGTTGCTGTAATTAATTGCAGTTTGCCATAAAAATGTGAATTGCTGTAAAATGCAGATTGCTAAATGGTAAAATGCAGATTGCAAAGAGCTTTTCCTTTACAATCAAGAGATTAACACGATTACTAACAATTTTCCAAAAGCAAAACATGATGACATTACATTAGTTGTAACCTGCAGATTGCTAACATTACATCAAAATACAAATGACTACACCACCCTAGTTGGAAGATACTTTGTCCGATGACATTATGTATGTACGTTCGAGATTGGTTTCGTGGCAAAACAATGGGAAATGTATGTTTAGTTGGACCTCGAGTGCAATATACGAGGCCAATTTCGAGACTGAATTTAAAGTCTTCAGCTTGTATTTTCTTTGTATAGCTAGTTGGAAGATACTTTGTCCGATTATATTTCTCCACATCGTCTTGGAAATCAAACTCACTTCCCTTCCAACAGGAGGTCTGTTCATTAGTTCTTCATGTGGTGGTTCTGTAGTCAAGGCAATTGCACCTAAAGTGTCCATAATAAGGTTAACCCACAGCAGCTGAACCGCGGTAAAAGGAGCAGATCCTGTTATGTTATAGAAACAGGTAAATATCAGTTATCAATTCAGAAACTTGTTCTCACATTTTTTTCAATGGAATACACTGATCACTTACAGAAAAATGAATAAAAACTCGTATAGAACATTGAATACCTGAAATGCATGCAGAGATAAAATTGATTATCAGAGCCACAACACAGACTGTCATCTAGAACTGCACAAACTTTTGAATATTTATGTATACAGAACGACCCCATTTAGCCACATTCACGATTATGCTAAAGTTTTCATCGATCACTATGATATCAGCACTTTCTTTACAACCTGATAATGTATTCAAGAAAAAATATGTCAAGAACAGCTTCATTTGGAAGGTTTAATACAAGAAATGGTAAGTTAACGTATGACAGGAGCAATTTACAAACCTTTGTGCCTGCTATACCCATAGCAAATCCAATATCCGCCTCATTGAGAGCAGGAGCATCATTTTTTTTCACCAGTAACTGCAACAATCTCATTAAACGTACCTTTTAGATTATTTATCCATAAGTCTGTGTAGTCCCTTAATCCAACACGAGATTCTAAAGGATACAAGGGAACACGTTGTTCAAGTCCCCTCGAGCTTTGAAAAAGCTTTCGAAATCTCCAAAAAGAAGGAACAAAGAAAGATTCTTCTTAACAGAATCAGTATCAACTCTAAGACCTGCATAATCATTTTGACCACTATATATGTCCCTGCAATTAGATTCAGCAGCCAGACACATATCTACCACAAAAAATCTGGTTACAACACGAACGTACCTTTTAGATTATTTACCAACACAAGCTTGTCCATTGGTGATGCTCAAGCGATCACCTACATTCAAGATTTGAGCATTTCAGGAACCATTCATTTACACCACACATTTTAAAGATTATCTCGGCTTCACCCTTGCAGAAAGCTCGGTTGTTTCCATCTGGGAGCGCAATAAGCACATACATCTTTTTCTTTTCCGAATTGAAAGGCTCAACCTTCAGCAGTTTACAGACCCTTCTTTTCTTGTCAATATCACCACCAAGAAGCAATACATATTCTAATATTGCTGATTCTGTTGGTGTACCGAGATTAGATTTCTTTCCGCCCTTATCCTTAACAACCTCTGCTACCGTATTGTGAAATATTGCCTGCAGAAGCAATGTCATTTCAACGACTGCCTAGATAAGTATATTTTTCTTCTCCTTATGCAAATCCTTGAACTGCAACGACTGCCTATAATCACTAATTGCAGTAACAATGACTACCAAGAATATACTAAGCAGAACAGCTAGTCCATCGTATATTCCTTTTGGCCAGCCTTCCGTGGCAAATCCCACACTAATGGAGACAACAGCACAAACCATGAGGATAAATGAGAGTGATATCCTGCAAAGCCTCCCAGAAAACTTAACAAATCTGATGAAGAAGATGAACTCCAAGAGCGCTCCAAGAACTGATGATGTTGGGGGAAATTTTTAGGGTTTTTTAAAAAAAGAAATGGGTAATGGATGTTTTATTTGGATGGGTTGGGTATTTTGAAAGATGGGTCGGGTCGATCCGGGTGGATAGTGTGGTTTGGGTCAAACTAATTAGATTATAATTAATTGAATTTTTAACTAATTACAACATGCCACGTAATAAATGAAATAATAAAATATATTGACTTAATAGTCTGTTAGTCAAAAGGGCAAAATAGGTCCCTAAAGGTTAACCCCAAGGGTATTTTAAGGCCAAAAGATAAACGAGGGGTATTTTTGTACCAATTCTAATACTATCAGGGTATTTCAGACCCTTCTCCGTATAAGTTATGCATCCATAATTTCTTTCAACGGTCGGTTTTTCATTAGATTGAGGTGAAAATGGCAGTAGTTTGATATTTCACTTTCACAGTTAAGATGCAATAGGTAGGGCATGGTGCATGAGGTATAACGGAAATTCTCGTCATATACGACATAGACATGAGAGTGTTAGAAAACTACTCTCTAGTTGAATTATCAGAATTGACTATGTAAAGTCAAAGGATAATGTGTTGGATCCACTTACAAAAAAGCCTAACTAGAGAGAAAGTTAAAAGATCATCTAACGAAATGAATTTACGGCTTCGGACAAGTCATCATGGCGGTAACCCTATCTAGCAAACTGGAGATCCCGAGAGCTAGATTCAAGGAGAAAAACAAAGTTGTGAATGAAGGTTCGACATTGTCAATAAACTAAATATATTCTCATGATGAAGACAATGCTCAGGGACAAGGATACAACATTAAGGCTTGTTAATGAGTTAATAAAGCTTAATTGTTTTAATGATTTGCTAAGTGTTGCAGAGTTGACCAAATAGTGTATCTATGTGATAACACTGTTAGAAATCACCTATGTGAGTGTGAAGTGTAAGCCGCTTCAAAGAAGATAATTGTCAAGAGCCCATCTCTCTATACACTCATGAAACAAGGAGGTATTCATGGCTAAAACGAACACAACCGTAAGAACCATAAATGGTAAAGGGTTAATTGTGTGACATATGGTTGTCTAGGTATACACCAAAGTTCGACGGTTCAAAGATATCACATCTATCGATTGACCGAGTATATCCGACATATGTTCACTATGAAAAGTCCAAGTGGATACCTACTTATCCAGATGCAATTAATTCTTGCTTGTAAAGTACACATATTTGTCCGTTTCTTTTTCTACGAGTCATTTTCCATTCATGCGGGGGATTGTTGGATTTTAAAAAAGGTGTGAATGGAAAATGAAGAGTTGCGACTTTTATAAAGAGTTGTGACTTTAATAAAATGTTGCCTCCTTCGTGGAATGATTTCAAGAATTATCTAAAGCACAAGCGTAAAGAAATAAAGCTTGAAGATCTTCTGATTGTCTAATTGTGGCAAGGCTGGTCATAGATCTTCTGATTGTCATGCTCCAATAAAGGACAAAAACAAGGGCAAAGGCAAAAGTCAAGCAAACATCGTGCAAAAGATGGAAGATGCAGATGACTTGTGTGCACTGATATCAGAGTCTAACTTAGTTGGAAATCCCAAGGAGTGGTTTTATCGACTCAGGTGCTACTAGACATATTTGCTCTGCAAAAGAAGCCTTTGCAACATACACTCATGCTGAGTACGATGAAGATTTATTTATGGGAAACACAGCAACAACAATGATTGAAGGAACTGAAAAAGTAATGTTGAAAATAACATCCGGCAAAGTGTTGACTTTAAACAATATTCTGCATGTCCCTACTATTAGGAAGAATTTAGTTTCTGCTGCACTACTCGTTAAGAACGGGTTTAAGTGTGTCCTAGTTAGTGATAAAGCTGTAATAAGTAAGAATGAAATGTTCATAGGAAAGGGCTACCCCAATGAGGGCCTTTTCAAACTAAATGTAATGGTTATTAACAGTATTAATAAAAATTCTGCTTCGGTTTACTTATTGGAGTTAAGTGATTTATGGCATGCCCGTTTGGGACATGTAAATTACAAAGCCTTACGAAAATTTGTTAATCTAGAAGTATTGCCTGATTTTAAATGCGATAAGTAGAAATGTGAAATTTGTGTGGAAAGTAAGTTTTTTAAACATCCTTACAAGTCTGTTGAAAGAAATTCTAAAACTTTAGACTTAATTCACACAGATATATGCGATATGAAGTCAACACTATCTCGTGGTGGGAAAAAGTATTTTATAACTTTTATTGATGACTGCACTCTATTTTATTATGTATATTTGCTTAATAGTAAGGATTAAGTAATTGATGCATTTAAGCAATAAAAAAATGAATTGGAAAACCAATTGAATCTAAAGATAAAAATGATTCGGAGTGATGAAGGTGGAGAATATGAATCTCCATTTGCAGAGATATGTTTGGAATATGGTATTATTCATCAAACTACTGCACCTTATACACCACAGTCAAATGGTTTGGCAGAACGGAAGAACAGAACATTAAAGGAAATGAGGAATGCCTTAATGATCAATTCTGGTTCACCGCAAAATCTTTGGGGGGAAACCATCCTTACAGCTAATAAAATACTCAATAGAGTACCCCATCAAAAAACACAATCAATTCCATATGAGTTGTGGAAAGGAAGAAAACCCAACTTGAAATATTTCAAAGTGTGTGGGTGTTTAGCCAAGGTAGAGGTTCCTTTACCTAAGAGGGTTAAAATTGGACCCAAAACAATAGATTGTGTCTTTATTGGGTATGCTGTGAATAGAAAAGCCTGTCAATTTTTGGTTCACAAATCTGATAATCCTGAGATTCATGTTAATACGATAATTGAATCAGATAATACAGAGTTTTTTGAAAACATTTATCTGTATAAAACTGAAAGTGAGTCAACAAGTGAAAAACCTAAACGACCACGAGAAGAATCATTGGAAAATATTCTAACTAGTTAGGAACCTAGGCGAAGTACTCCACAACGAAAATCTGTTTCTTTCGGACTAGATTTTGTAGAACTATTGCTTGAAAATGAGCCTCAAACATTTAAAGCAGCTATGTCTTCGTGAGAGTCAACTTATTGGAAAGAGACAGTTAATAGTGAGATTGAATCAATTTTAAGCAATCACACTTGGTAATTGGCTAATCTTCCTCCAGGAAATAAACCTTTAGGATCAAAATGGATCATTAAACGGAAAATGAAACCTGATGGGACTATTAACAAATATAAGGCTAGACTGGTAGTCAAAGGGTACAGACAAAAGGAAGGTCTGGACTACTTTGACACATACTCTCCAGTAACAAGGATAACATCAATTACGATTTTAATAGCACTAGCAGCAGTGCATGATCTTAAAATCCACCAAATGGATGTATAGACAGCTTTCTTCAATGGAGAGTTAGAGGAAGAAATTTACATAGAACAACCTGAAGGGTTTATAGTTCCTGGTAAAGAAAAGAAAGTGTGCATACTTGTGAAGTCACTTTATGGACTCAAGCAAGCACCCAAACAATGACATGCTAAATTTGATCAAATAATGTTGACAAATGGAATCAAGATTAACGAATGTGATTAATGTGTTTACATTAAAAACGTTATGAATCATGAAGTCATTGTTTGTTTTATATGTTGATGACATGTTAATAATGAGTAAAGAAATTGACGATATAAATGCTACTAAGCGAATGTTGTCCAGCATGTTCGATATGAAAGACTTAGGAGTTGCTAATTTGATCTTAGGGGTCAGGATTATCAAAACTCCCCAGGGACTAGCATTATCTCAATCTCATTATATTGAAAAAATATTGGATAAGTTCAATTACTTGAATTTCAATGTAGTCAAAACTCCAACTGATTTAAGTTGTACATTTAAAAAGAATGAAGGTTAATGTGACTCTCAATTGGAATATGCCAGAGTGTTGGGAAGTATGATGTATATTATGAACTGCACGCGACCAGATATAGCATGTGCTATTAGTAAACTGAGTCGGTACACTAGTAATCCAAATCAAACTCACTGGATGGCTATGAAACGTGTGTTGGGTTATCTAAAATGGACACAACATTATGCTTTGCATTATAATAAATATCCTGCTGTGATTAAAGGATATAGTGATGCAAATAGGATCACCGGGTCAAATGATGTTAAATCCACGAGTGGTTATGTATTCATACTTGGTGGAGGAGCTGTCTCTTGGAAATCTTCCAAACAGACATGTATTGATCGCTCCACAATGGAATCTGAATTCATTGCTTTAGATAAGGCTGGTGAAGAAGCGGAATGGCTCAGGAATTTCCTAGAGGATATTCCATTCTGGCCCAAACCTGTTGGACCAATTTGTATACATTGCGATAGTCAAGCAGCAATAGGTAGGGCAGGGAGCATTATGTACAACGGGAAATCTCGTCATATACGACGTAGACATAACACCATAAGACAACTACTCTCTAGTGGAATTATCACAATTGACTATGTAAAGTCAAGTGATAATGTGTCAGATCCACTAACGAAAGGCCTAGTGAGAGAGGCAATTGAAAGATCATCTAAGGGAATGGGTTTACGACTTAGGACAAGTCAGCATGACGGTAACTCTATCCATTCTCATGATGAAGACAATGTTCAGGAAAACGTTAAGACTTTAGGGCTTGCTAATGAGATAATAAAGTTTATGTTCTTAATGATTTGCTAGCTTTGTAGATTTGACCAAAGAGTGTATCTACGAGATGACACGGTTAGAAATCACCTATGTGAGTGTGAAGTGGAAGCCGCTTCAAAGAGAATTTTATGTCCTTCACTATATCCTTCAACCACAACAGAATATTTATTATAATGTAAAGCATAATGTTGTATCCATTTTAGATAACCGAACACACGTTTCATAGCCATTCAATGAGTTTGATTCGGAGTACTAGTGTACCGACTCAGTTTACTAATAGCACATGCTATATCTGGTCACGTGCAATTCATAATATACATCATACTTCCCAACACTCACGCATATTCCAATTGTGAGTCACTTTGAACTTCATTCTTTCTAAATGTACAACTT